CAAATGGTTACACTTACCTCCTCACTTGTATTGATCGGTACACAAGATGGCCTGAAGCCATTCCTATTGAAAATATATCCGCTGAAACTGTAGCTCGAGCATTCATCTCTCAGTGGCTTTCAAGATTTGGCATGCCTACCACCATCACTACTGACCAAGGCCGACAATTTCAATGTCACTTGTTCGCATCCCTCACCTCTCTTCTTGGCATTCGCCATATTCGCACAACACCATACCATCCATCTGGAAATGGAATGGTGGAACGCTTTCACCGATCTCTCAAACAAGGCCTGAAGTGCCACAGTACCACACACTGGACAGAAGCCTTATCCCTAGTCTTGCTTGGTCTTCGCACAGCATTCAAAGAAGACATTGGTAGCACTTGTGCTGAAATGTTATATGGTGCAACCCTCCATCTGCCAGGTGAATTCTTTCACCCAGAATCTACTCCAGTTATCGACCCTCCAACATTCCTTCAACGTTTACGTGAGACCATGAGCAATATCTCGCCAACCCCAGCATCTTCGCATAACCAGCCAAGCTATTTTGTATATCCTGCGCTTGAGACATCTTCGCACGTATTCGTGCGCAATGATACAATTAAGCCAACTTTAACACCTTCATATGATGGTCCATTCAAAGTTGTCAAACGTACACCGAAACATTTCACCATCATCTGCAATGGCAAACAATCAGTGATTGGAATCGATCATCTCAAACCAGCATTTCTAATGCAAGATCCAACAACTTCCTCATCAACATCACTCCCGGAAGAAAGCTTACATCCCGTTAAAGAGCAACCTAAAACTACCAGATCTGGAAGAAAGGTTAAATTTAACCCAAAGTACTTATAATGTACCGATGGTACTTGGGGGAGGGAGTACTGTGGCGTTCCGACAGATACTTCAACTTCTATTCATGAGATGGCGCCACATGCAAAATCCAGTTCTTAACCGGAGCAGCAAAGCAACATCATTACTCACTCAGACTTCTCGTCAGACAACTGTACGCGACGGTAGCATAAATTGTGTTCCGAGCTCAGCGTTGATCTCTGCGATGTAATTTAAATTGTAATTTAGTACTTAATATATTCTTTTGTTATAGGAGATTGTCTACTCTTATTTTCATTAATTATATCATGCATTAAGCACACGACCACCAAATATTCATACGGCATTTGACCTTCATGTACTGGCATTAGTTTCTGTTTTGAGAGAATTATTGAAATAAACAAACTGGAAATCACGGCTCTTTATAATTGTGCCTATGAATTAAAGCGGCACAGGCGTTTTTGTTTATTTCGTTAGGATTTTCTTTTTTCTTCTTCTTTTTTTTTTTTTTTTTTTTCCTATTTATTTTGAAACTTAACATAAGCTTTCTTGGTTAATTAAAAAATAACATTACAACATTATTACAGAAGGGGAAAGACTATCAGCTTTTTTGATGTGCAATGCGTCTTGCTTGCATTCCTCAGGAAAGAGCCACTGTTTTTGTTTTTCTTACTCGATTTAACAGGTCATTATATATAATGCCTTTAATCGTCATTATATACTTGTATAATGACACAGGCGTTATATTTTGGTATATAATGCATATTAGGTATATAATGCATATTTAGGTATATAATGCATATTTACTTTACATATAATGTAATTATATGTAACGTATATATTGACGTGATCAGTAACGGATATCCCACCAGTGGGGGCCTTTCCTTGATCATATTCCGGTCAATACATACATGGACGCTGTTTTCAATTTAGAAAAACAGGAAATTTTCTAATATAAACCTGATGTCACACAGGGTTTGAGGATGAAATATTTCTGAGTGTCTTTTGAAGAAGTTTTGGGACATGCATTGGGGTTATATTCAATTTCATTCCATTAGGCATAGCTAAGAGATCTAACTTAAAAACTTAAAAAAATTGTCCAAAATCACCGGACAATTCACCTTTTCGTCTAACTGTTTCTAGTTTAACTGTTTCCGTAAGACAGTTTCCAAAAATTTACATTGACGGAAAAGGTAATAAAGGTAGGAGAAGATGCGCTGTGTGAGCTAAAACCAAGGAAAAGCGAAAGCAAATCACATATTTTGAGTGCGAAATATGGAATGTAGGACTGTGTGTCGATCCTTGTTTTGATTTATTTCACACACAGCAGAACTTTTAAATTGGAATTTAATTACCAACTAGTAATTCTTTTTTTTTTTGGGGGGGATTTGTGTGTATATATATATATATATAATGTTTATAGTATTTATTTCTGCATGTATAGTTATGATTTTAGTATTTTGCCTGTTTAATTTATTTCTATTAATGTGATATTCTTTATATTAATACACATTAAAAACAAGTACATTAAATATGCATTTCAAAATTGAAGTCATAATATCAAAATGCTGATTTTATATATAAATAAATATATATATATATATTTTTTTTTTTTTTTTTTTAATTAGGCTTAACTGCTGAAAATGTGCGGACCGGTGGCGATGATCTACTTCAGCGGGTCCGGTCCCTTGACTGCGCTTCATTCTCCCGGCACTAGTCCTCAAGGAGTTAAACTACAATCACATGAAATTTGCCAAACTTCCCTGTGATACAGTAATGGGTGACCAAAAGGGGTATTGCCTCTTTGGTTCAGCAGTCATATTGGGAGTCAAACTCTAAAGTGGTAAAAAAAAATATTAGTCGCAGTGAAGCTGTTTACTGAAGACTAATGCACTTTTCGTGTACAGATATTTTACCAAAAAATAACTCTATCATGACAGTACGCCATCAGTATCACATGCATTAGCAGTTGCGAGATATTAGCTTATCATCTAACCCTGATGTTATTAGGAAATGGATCCAAATGTTTGAAGTTACTGGTTCTACAGTGAAAATACATAAAACGGGCCCTTCACAGTCTGTAAGAAATGCAGCAAATAACAAACTTGTACAACAATCAGTCAGAGGGAATCTGATATTATCTCTATGAAAATGAACTCGGAAGACTAATGTTAAAAGATCATCTTTAAATAACATTTTGACCCTACTGCTGTGGCTGAGTTTAGAATATTGATTGGGCATGACTGCCTTGGTGCTCATTTGTTTCATTCTAATCTGACTGTCTCACCTTTATGTGCTTTGTGTGATTCTGGACAATGCTGCTCATCTGGATGTGTGCTCTGCACTTAAGAGTCTGGACTGTATTGTAAAGAAGTATTGGAGAGCTCGTTCCCTAATGACCCGATGGTCAATGGCCAGGCATTTGATAAATAAAAATAACATTTTGACTAAAGGAATGCATCTGCATGCCTACAAAATGCAAGTGGTACACGTTATATTGTAGGGATTCTGTCACTGAAATGATAGAACAGCCTGAAAATTTTAATAATATTTTATATTACCTAATTTTCATCTCAGCACCATGCAAATAAATAAAATTTCAAGTACTGGTCTGACAGTAATCCTTGCAGAAAACATAAATGTCCACTGCTCAGCCCCAAAGTTGTCATATGGCTGCTATGTCTTCTAATCGCATCATTAGACCATACTTTTCTTAGGATCAAACTGAATGAGATTTACCATTAATACTCAGCAATATTGTGCAAGATTGTCTAGTGCTGTCTCTGCAATAATTTCAAAGCTTTAATTTTTTTAATTTAATTAATTTTTTAAGCTTGGTTTCAGCAGAATAGTGTCACATGCCACATATCAAATCGGGCAATTAAAGCTGTTCAGCAACTATTTCCCAATAAAGTGATTTCAAAAAGAGGCAATATTAACTGCCCCCTTGGAGCTCCATTCCCTGAGGGATTAACTCAAATGTAAGATCTACAAGAATAATCCAAATGATGTGAATCAGTTAAAGGTAAATAGTTAGGTGCAAATAAGATTGATTTCAAAAGGAATATATACATATATAATCAAAAATCTTTGTTCTTGATTTGAAGAGTGTATACAATTCAATGGGCATCATTTAGACAATATTGTTTTCAGCTCATAAATGTTCATTGTCTATACATAAACATTTTCATAAATAAATGATCACAAAAATTTTTGAATTTTTATTTATATACAAATCATAGAGCTGATACCCTTTTTGGTCACCTGATATATGCAAATTTATTCAAATTAGTCAAAAATACAACATTAGATTGGCTGCAGATTTTGAATAAAACTCTATCAATTTTAAGAATGATCAGGCATGATTTTGAAAGCAACCAGACATAGATCATGGTCAGGAGCATCAGACTTCATGAGCAAAAACTCTTTGCTGGAAGGGAAAAAAATTGCTTATTTAGAATTTGTTATTTGAAACCACTTTTTATCAGTTTCAAAAGATATTAGACATAAGTTTCTCTTCTGCAACAGCAAAAAGTTTTACCAAAACAACAGTTTTTTGCTTCAAGAGCTAAACTAATCACCTTCAAAACTAATAATTTTATTCAAAAATCTGCACTCATCCAGAATCACTCTTTTGTCTAATTTTAATTTTTTATTCGTATATTTCTTTTTCAGTTACATCCATTCATATATAAAGTAGCAATGTACATAAAATATCCTAATAAGAGATCTAAATTAGCATGAGTTTTCTCTGTTCATATATATTTCTTTCTTTTTTCAAGACTAATAGTAGACAAAAAAAAATTTCACAGATAGTTTTTATTTATTATTTTTATAGAAAATTATAATGAAATAGAAATGGTAATGTTTACAGAAGACATTACACTTTTTTATTTCATTCTAATTTTCCATAAATTCATGTCATAAAATGTTTTATAGAACACAATAATGATCTTGATCATTTTTATAGAAAATGACCACAACTGTTTTTAGGGAAAATTATTACAAACCAAAACACAAACACAACTAAAGTGTTAAAATGATGGATATCTTTGTTATATGCTCTCGTCATGTCCTTAAATAGAGATAAATTCTAATACTTATGAAAAGAATGCTTTTGGAGACCATTATTACAATGAAATCAAATATAATCACTACAGCAGTACTTACTTTCCTGGAGATACAGGTATATGTATGGAACCATAACCACGAACAACATCATTTCCAAAAAAATCTATTCCATAAACACTAACCACTAACTGTGGCCCTAAAAAACGTTATGAAGAGTTCTCAGAAACACAAAAACTATTAGAGAAAAATACATAGATAAAAAAATAATAACAAATCACTTTAATCTAAACTATATCAAAATGATTATAAAAAAAAGAAGAAACTTAATTTACAATTATATAAATTATATTACTGAATAAAAGATTTCTTAAGAATACTCAAAGATATTAAAATAAATGTGATTTCTTATTAAAGGCAGTCACATAATTCAATAGAATGAATAATAACTGTATCACATTTAGTTATTTCATGTTTTCAGATGTTATGTTTTCATGTTTCAGATTTCATGTTAGTTTCAGAACTATTTCTAATTCATCATACAAATATGCAATCCATTTTTAGCAGTTTATGTGAATTTTACTGTAGTTTTTCAATAAATCTTTACATATATACAGAGTGCATATACAAATGAGAGTGTGTTTGCAGTAAACTTCCTAAAGAAGGTCTGGTGAAACTGCAGTAAAATTTTGACATATATATTAAATATAAATTGCAAACTTGTAATCCAAATTATGCTACCGAAACACAATTCCTTGATGCAGATAAGACTATATAACAACAAAAATTACCATTATTTCTTTTATTCAATAATAATTTAATAAATAAGCTTTAGTAAATCGCATTTACAGATTTATACAGAAAAAATGTATACAGTTTGTAAGATTAAAAATTTGTAAACCAAAATTTTAACTTTAATTTGTAATAGAACATTAACTTTTTAATTTGGTTATTTTCCCTTTCTATACTAAAAATGGTAGCTGCTTACAATCAATCTCTCTAAACAGCATTTCAAAACTGATCTTCCTGGCATGATTTTTGCCTAACGCTAATGATGCAGTAAGCGTAGTGCTTCAGATAATAAAATTTAAATTTTAGGAGCCGAAGTGTTTAGCAACCACATATAAAGGGATCACAAGGGATAAAGCTTAACTAAAACTAAATCAATCTGAACTGGGTTTACATCTCAGTTTTGTTAGATTTCTCATAAAGCCATTTCCTAAAATTATATAAACTTGCCCTCCACTGTCTATTAATGTCAAAAAAATTTAATTGCCAAATGATCCTTTGTAAAAATGCGCTGCTTAATGAGGGGAAAAAACTGTGTTATGTACAATACATTTTATAAAATCACCATTCGATTAAATCTAAAATAAAAATGTTGCATGCATTTCCAAAATGAAATTTTTTCCACTTCAGAGCATGTGAAGATAATTTCTTACAGAAAGATACGTACAGAATATGAGACAAATTCCTACCTACAACAATATATACTGTATTTTTCAGTGTATAACGCACACCAGTGTATAATGCGCATCTATAATTTCAAGCTACATTTTTTTTTAATTTTTAGGTATATTCACCGCATAACGCGCACCCAATTCTTCACAAAGAAGCCTAAAAGATACATGTGCAATGCTCTTATCTTTTGAGGTTACTTATTTGAACATTTGTCGTAGTGTTTTGAACAATGGTAAACTGCACTGACAACTGATAAGGGGAACAATATGCATGCAGGTTAAATGCTAAGGGAGTAAATATCCTGACAAATAGGGTGGACTATATTCAATGCAGCCATCCAAAAGAATGCTATTGTAAAGCACTTCCAACCTAAATTTATTCGTGGAATTAGGAATTAGATGTTTTCTCTTTTCGTAGCACATATGGAAAGCAGCACGAAAATATGTATAAGGATTTCTTTAAAAAGATAAATATTTTATTTCTGATATGTTTTGCTTTTTTAATCTTGTTATATCTTAGCTAACCTGGAAGTCCTTGAGGGCTAGAATATTGAAGAACTATGTAGCAACTTACTTATCTTAGAATTCAATGACAAGTCCAAAGAAGGGTTAAATTTACCCTTTATTCCAACTTAAAAGAAATAAACAGATGGCCCCTTCTCACGCTTACAATAACTCTCCACTTGGGCTTTAACTCAAAGTCAAAAATAAGAACTACTAATACTAAATTAACTAAAACCAGTTAAAGCTGCAAATAATTAACTAAGAGAGTTTGTCTTAACTAAGATCATCAGTGGATTCTAGCAGGCAAATAACAGTGCAGCCGAATAGCAGTAAGATTAGACTATTTGCAACAACATGGCCAGATGGCAGAACATGCTCTGTTAACTCTACTCTCTTCTAGTGAAGTGATCCAGACTTCAGATTAAATACTGGTTTCAACCTCATTTACATAAAACATAATCCTAAAAACTCATTCTGGCAGGGAAACATAGGTGGAAAACAAGAATGTAAAGCAAAGGCTTGTTCAAAAATAAAAATAACTATTAGGAAATTAAAATAAACTCCTACAGTCTGACTGATTGATTGTTCTTTTATGGAATTCTTACAATTTTGGAAATTGTTCTTGCTTTTTGGCACTTTAAATTGGCAAAAAAATTTTAATCTTACTAAGGGTTATCCTGTTAAGTAAGAACTCCATTTTTCTGAAAAGTCACTACAGAGGCTGTTCACACATTTTTTAGACGATGTATATTGTATTCACAAAACTAAATGACATAAAATTCTTGTGTTTTAAATGTTCTATTTGACATCCCTTATTCTGAACTATCTTTCGACACCGCAGTTTCCAGGATAATAATGCCTTTTGAAGTGGCAGAAGAGGTATTCTATCCCATTCCTCCCTAACAGCTTTCCAAAGTCCTGATAGGGTTTTGGGACAACGTTTGGATAATGCAATTTTTAAAAGTCCGAAAGCACAAAAATCCATAGGTGACACATCAGGAGATTTAGTAGGGATATCAGTGAAGGGTATGGCCTTGAAAACAGTTTTTTGTTCCATTTCTTTTAGGAAATTTACAGTGGATTTTGATGTGTGACTGCTAGCTTTGTCCTGATGGAGTCTCACAGATTGATGGCACTGTGGGTAAAGCGATGGTATATCATTCAGAAAAATTTGTGATAAAATATGTTCCTGATAGTATTTGGAGTTAATCTTGACATTGTTTTGGCACTCTCTTTATTTTTAACTTGCCATTATAAGAAAAACCAGCAACAATCATGAATCCCTTAGAAAAACTTTCTTTCGATCCTTTAAACCATGTACTTAAATTTTTTTCTCCCCTTTTATGATAATAAATGGCTTTTTTTTTTTTTTTTTTTTTTGTTACAACCATTTAAATACACCCATGCTTCATCTATTGTGACAATTGTTTTCCATTTTTCTTTGGATAAGTGTTTCTCATATAGAATTCTGCAGCGTGTCCTGCGTTGAGCGATAAGCTTTGGAAGAAAACGATGCACATTGCGTTTTTTCGCTTTCTTAAGATTTAAATCAACGTTTATCATTTTGTTTACAGTGGACACCGAGCATTTTAATGATTTTAATGATTTTGTCTTTTGACTAGGGGGATTTCCTTTTAACATTAAACAACGTATCTTTGCAAATGTCCATTTTTTTCTTGGATACCTGTTTGGAATTTTTGTCCCACTTGAGGCTCCAATTTGACGTCTTTTTCCTTTCTTGTTGATGATATTACCTATCGATGCTTTAGATATCACAAAACCATGACTCTCACATTGTTTTTTGATAACGGAGTATGCATATTTCTCTTCGGAAAAAGCGTAAATTTAGGCTTCGAAACACTGCTTTGTTAAATTCGCCATTTTGAATAAAAACAAAACTTTCAAGCCACAGACGATAATTTTGACTTTTAAAAACATAGTACAATTGCAATTACTTCTTTTGCAGCAAACGATTTTTTATTACCGCTTACCAAAATCGTCTAAAAAATGTGCGAACAGCCTCTGCATTGAGTTCACAATATTGAGTGGGGGTGTAGATAATTAGAAAGTACCTACTAATTCTTGTTTTTGGTTTTTTCTTATAACCTCACTTATCCATATTTTCCATTATATGAAGGATTCTCATATTCTTCAGAGCTCTGGTAATCTCTTGATCACATGATTGAATTATAGATGTGTCTTTGGTCAAGGAACACAATTTAATTTGTTTTCAGAATTTATTTGCCCTGTACAGTGTGCAACAGTCAATCCATAGAAACTTTTGAATGGGAAGGATTTAACTGAATACAGTAAAGCCTTTAAAGGCTATTTGTCTAAGGGGATGGTTACCCTTATGGAGGACTTTATAAAGGAAATTGGCTTGTATTTAAATCACATACTATGGGAAAACTATAAAATGTGCATGGCAGTTTGTTCACCAAGATTTGAATCCGAATTCAACCAACTATCATTGGTCAACAATCTTATCTACTGAGCTACTGGTGAGTGAACAAATATATTGTGCCTCATTTTATTTTAATTCAGGTCCCATTAACTCAAAATTATTGTCATCATCTATATCTTTAAATTATAATTTTGACTAGTTTTGATAGGAAAAAATCATTCTTTTAACATCTTGATGTCATTAAATGACTTGTTGTTTACAATAAAAAATGAATTTCCTACACTTTTTTATGGGAACAGGCAGGACTTAACAATTTCATAACAATATCTGAATAGATATTACATTTTTTTTAATTAGACAGGTTACTGTATTGAGAAGGTATTTAAAATAAAACAATTAAGATTTGCATCTTTTATCAAAACAGAATTTTGTACAAAGAAAGACACTTAATTTGTACAAAATTAAACTTATTCATAAATATGATATCAGTTCATAAATATGATATTCATAAATATGATAATATAAAGTTTGTACTACTGTTTCTAAAATGAATATTATGTATTTAGTATGAATGGAAGAAACCTGTATTTCAGAAAATTTATCTTTCAGCAGCAAATTACAAGGATTGATATTTACATTAGTGAAAAGTACTTCCTGGAATAAAAAATACATAAATTAATAAATAATTATCCTTATAAACTGACAGATAATTAATAAATAATTATCCTTATAAACTGACAGATATTGATATGGTACCTATTTAAACTATTTCTTTAGTATCTTTTTGATCACCAATGTAGAGTTCACATCTAATATCAGTTATAGCATTTGAGCTTATTCTGTACAAAATACAATATAAGCTCATTCTAAAAGAACATTAGCAATTTACACTGAACAATTCCTACTTTCATGAGTTGTTATTTGCATTGATAGTGGTAAATCAAAATAAAATTTTATAAAGATAACAATGGGAACCCGGTACTTCACAGACAGAAATTCCTAACTTTGATTAATTCTTTCTATGGATTTTCTTTAGAGATTCTACACACAAAATCAACTACTTTCTGCACTGTCTGACACCTTGTCCAGTCTTTTGATTGCCTCAACTTTCTGTTCCATTGATACAACAAAGTTCCTGTTGTTCTTGTTGCTAATTGATGCTTTCTTTTTTCTTCTTTGCAATATTATGTCAGTTAAGCAAAAGTCAGACAAGCAAGATCCTACTGTATTGTTTAAATCTCTGGTTACAGTTTTCTGCATCTCTCCAATGATACTAAAATAATGACTTTTGAAGAAAGACTTCATTTTAAAGAATAGAAGATAATGTAATCAAGTAGTATGCAATCTACTGCATTTATTTATTTATTCCTTAGGTGGCAGCACTAAAACATTATTTTTACATTCAAACATACAATAAAATGGCGCAGAAAAGAATTGATTAAAACAACAATCAATTTTAGTGTCATCACCTAATAATAAATAATTAAAAAAAAAAAGTAGATCACAAACTACATGATTACCAAAAGTAAACTGCATGTGCTAAATCTGGTAAGTAACATGACCATTTGAAAAATGTGACACTTTTCTTCATTGCTAAAAACTGCTTGATGGGAATGGAATTGTGTGACATTGCATTATTGTGCAGCAGAAACCAGTCATTTGTTTGAGCTTTCCCAAGCCTAACAGCCTGAATTGTCCTCAGAAGTCTGTCCATTATAGCTTTATAAAATATGAAGTTCATTGCCTGTTTTTCAATTCGTAACTTTCAATACAGCACTAAACAAACATTTCAATTCATAACTTTAACAAATTCCTAGTCAATTATCATTTTCCAATAAAAAATATCAATACATGGTCTTTACTCATGATGTCTAAATCTGAAGTTTATGTGGCCATAGTGAACTTTTTCCAACTCAAGACAATGATAGCTGTCTCAGGACCAAATTTCATTTCTAGCCACAGTTTGTTTGGGGAAAAAAAATCGAGACTAATATTTATGATTTTCCACAAATTATCACATTCAGAAATTTCACTTACTGTTCTACAGTTAATATATGAAAGAAAAACAAGAATAAATATTTTAATTTTTACGAGATTTTCCAAGACAGTTTTGTCAGTAGTTTGCAAAGCTCAAATCTGTAAGTTGGAGGGAGAAAGAGGTGATGATTTTTCAAGAATAATATTTTAATTTTTTTCTAATCCATTTGACACTGCAAAGGGTGTTCAAACTTCTTTCAAATGTCTTTGTTGTTATTTTTCTCACTTCACAGCACAACTTTACAGCTAGACCATGACAACAGATTACTGAATTAAAGCAAACAACTAACTTCAAAGAAAATACTACCTTTTGAGGTATTATAGTAATAAATACTGTCAATTATTATTTGATAGGTTCGCTAGCCTTTGTTGCGGGTAAAAAAAAAAAAAAAAAAAAAAAAAAAAGGTTGAAAACTTTGTAGGTATACAATTTTTTTTTATAAGAAACAGACAGCAAAAATTTATAGAACAACTAATTTCAGCATTTACAATGTCATTTTTGGTAGTTACATATTATTTCATTGATTATGAAAGTAGGCTACCATCAAACCATGAATGCTAGTAGACTCTACCAAAATAGTACCAGTTATTTTTGTGGAATTCTATATGAAATGATACCTCTTTATTTAATGAAAAAAACCAACATTTAACCAGCTTCAATTCTGTGCTTCACAAAATGGCTTTTGTCGATTTTTACTATTTTGTTAGGCCCTCAGATTTTAATGGAAGCTCTGTTTAAAATACTATGAATAGAAACTTCTGGCAAGTAATTGTTCCAATATAATACTCTTTCACAGGCTATATTCAATTGACCATATTGTCCATTAATACATACTTTTTTATAGTAAAATCCCATAATTTTGAATCTATTCCTCTGCTTGCTGAACTGTGCAAGGCAGGTCCTAAACATTAATCATTTCCTCTTCTTCCCATCCAGGACCAGATTTATGTATAAGCTACATAAGCTATAGTTTAAGGACCCCAATTTCTTGGAGTCCCCCAAAAAATTAAAATATAGTATAAATAATATTAAAATATATTATAACAAGCTCATAAAGGGTCCCATATCTCAAATAGTTTAGGGCCTTATCAAGTCTAAATCTGGCTCTGCCCCCCTGCAAAATGCAGCAAACAAATGCAGCAATAATAGTTACTTGACATCCCTGTTAATAAAAACAAAATGTGCCTTATCAAAAATCAATATGGGAGCATCAAATGGAAAAAGTAGATGATGTGATATCACGCTTATCTATAACTGGCACTAAATTGTACTACCTGACCTAAGTAACTTAACTTCACCTAAGTACTTCAATTTTTAAAGTGTTATTTATTCTTCCTGAAGCCCTATAAATTATAAATTTACAATCATTACAAGTTACATGTTTCTAACTTGAAATTGTGAGAGGGAACATCACAGTGAAATAGTGTGACCAATATATAGGATAGAAATGGCCTTATATCCTGTCATATGAATGCAGTAGATAAGAAGTGTTTGTATATGTTTTAAATAGTACTTTATAACATTTAAGTCCTTCGAATATTATATTGAAATATTAATCAAAGAAAGAGATGTAAGTTATGATAGCTTAAATAGAGGTTAATTAGGTTCCATCAGTATCAAGAATAGAATAAATGATTAGGTTACAACAGCATCCAGAATAGAATAAATGAATAATGAAAAGGAAAATTTTACAGCTTAATATATAATTTAAATACTTACAACCATATGGATTAGTGCTCTTGAAAGTAATATCTAAAGGAAAATTAAAGGCAAATAATTGCATATCATCTTCCCCTTTCTTTGAAATTTGTGATATACCCTCTTCAATACCCTAGATAAGAAACAGAGGAAAGTCAGACAGTCCTTATATGATAAAAAGAAAAAATAAAGTATATAATTCATAAAATTAATACATGACAAATTTCTAAAATGTATTTTATCTTCCCTCAAAAATGCCTTTAAACAGCAATTAACAATAAAAAAAATTAAATTTTGTACTCCACAATAATTTAAGAGTTAAATCTAAATCAATGAATTTATTTCATTGCTAACATATTATTTATTATTTATATTGGCAGTATCTATACCTAATACATATATTTTTTATTATTAGGCAGTATCTACTTAAATCTAAATATCAGGTAATTTTAATCCCATAAACCATTTAATTTTGAAGAGGGGGAAAAAAACGCAAATCAAGTAAAAGATACTTTTTCCTTTTTGTTAAGTTTTCCATTACACGATCAACATTTTTTTTCATATGCATTAAAGAATAGCCTTACTACCTTTACAGCTTACTCCACATACAGAACAGAATAGACAAAAAAAAAAGGTCAATCAATAAAGAGAAAGAAATATCAAATTAGTAGCTATGGAAGTATGTAAACATTATGGAGACAATGGTACTTCCTAATTATTCATATCCCGTGTTTTAACAGTTAAAAGAATTGCTGTGTTTTCGAATATACATGCAACAATAGCCAATCTACAATGTGCATATCTCTCAGGTGTTTAAGTGCACATGGTTTCACCCCCATTATATCATTACTGACATCACTACACATCATGTGGATAATTTGAAAACATGAAGACAATGTGCTGAGGGAGCTAAATTATATGTAATTCTGCCTTTTCTTGTTCAAAAATGTCTTTGGAATGTTGTGATAAGAGTGGTAACAAAATAGGTTAGATATTTCCATTAATATGCAACACTACCTTAGCAATAATAGACAGGATTAATATAGGTATTTAAGACCCCTATCACAATAGGCAGTAGGCAGCATGAAAATGCAAATGGTCTTTAGCTTCACATGACCCATTACTGCTAATATCTTTATACTACTGCCTCACCCAAACCTATGTGACAGCTAATCACTTAACAAACTGGACTCTTCTAGACCAGTGATACAGCACATAAACCCATACAGTACAAAGTCCAAGATGTGGACTCATCGAGAATCCAGACTTGGGATTTTTTTTTTTTTTTGGATATTAAATTATCAGTTTAAATCTAGTAAGGTGGCATGTAAAAATCTAATGCTTTCAATACATAGAGATAATTTTTAATACCTAGATATAATTTAATTCTATATAGAGAGATAATTTCTTGTTCAGTTACAAAGTTCCATTGTTCAAGTCTTGCAACTGCTGTGCCGGAAATTCCCACTAAATTGTCAATTAAAATGTTTTCATTCTCAGCAACTTCTGTTACATCAACTTCATTTACTACCACTTCACCAAAAATTTCATTAATTGGAAATTTCTCTCTCTTTTTTTTAATGATATCCAACAATGGTACTTTTCCAATAGCAGAGCCCAAATTATGCAAATGTAAAATTTATAGCTTTCACAATGATGTAACAAACCAGCAATATAAACAATTTCAAAAATAAAACAACTCATTTCCATATAACAAATATATTTCTTCAGTATGGTAGTATTTTATTTTGTGCTGAAGTGAAATTAAGAATTGGAACTCTCATAAGTTTTATTATGAAAAAATATCAAATGCACAGGGGTAAAGCATGCAAAAAAATTTCTAACAAAAAAGTTGCTGGTAGTCTGGAGGCCCGGATTTTAGATACTTCTGGATAACACAAAAATCAATTATTTTTTAAATTATTTTTTTTATTAATATTTTTTTATCATTCTGGATATCAGACATCCAGATTTTGGATTTTGGACTGTATAAAGGCATTGACACAGTCTTAGTTCATATAAGAACATGTATCAAAACTGCCCTTGCATTCAGCTTTTTCTCTACGCGTACTCTCTTGAATCCAAATTTACCATGATCTGTAGTAGGCTACAATTTGGCCATAGGCTTTGATTTTTTTTAATATCATTTGCATTTCAGTTCTGGAAATTTACACACATCATTTTGCATAAGCAAAATGACATTCTCAACAATTGTCTTGCTTTTTCATTAAACTATGTATTTGCTTATAGGTTCATATATAATTACGGCAGGTCGGAGTCACTAACCACTATCCCATCTGGGCAGTTACAACTCAAATTAATCATAATATATGAGTCTTTAACTACATATCATTATACCAAAGCATTAAATTTTAGTAAATTTCAATTAACATATAGTAATTATACCTTTGCACTCAGTACAACACAGAGTCAGTTAGGGCTGAGGTCAAGAGATCTGGCTGTCCAATTCATGTGGCAAATAGCCTAACTTTCAAGGTAACCATCAACCAATTGAGCCCTATGTGGACAAGCCTTTATCTTCTACTAACAGGAGCTTAGGGTCAAATGTGCCCCTGAGCAAACATAAAGGTCTAAGATCTCTCTGTACCTCATAGCATTCAGGAAGCCTTTCTCAAACACATTCAGGGGTCTGCAGCTGTTCAATGTAATACTTCCACCACAAAAATGATTCTTTTCCCTAATGGGGGGGAAGGTAACATGTTCCAGGTTCTCTCAGGATTACAGGCACATTGAGAATTAGTGTCCAGGCTGAATCTCGACTCATCTGTACAAAAGTACAGTGTTGCTCTAAAGTCTGGTTCAAGCAGAGCTTAATTTCTAAGATTAGAAGTGCCGGAGCCCTATGGAAGACCATCAGCAAAGAGAAACAAGAGTAAATAAAATAAATAAAATGACTATTAAATTCATAATTAATTTTAATATAGTCAATTATTATAAATTAATTAATAGCTATTTAACTAATGCTTATAAATTGTTATTTAATCAGTAATTATTATATAATTAATTAATTATAATTTAATTCATAATTATTAAAAAATTTTATTTATTGAAATAATTAAAGATTGAAGTAATTAAATAATTAAAAATTAAATAAAATGTAAAAAGAGAAACTGAAATTTAATACACGATTTTTAATATAATTTTATTGTTAAAATAAAATTTTCGAGATTAAATTTCTACTGAAATTGTTATTCAATTACATAAAAGAAGTACCGCAGCCTTCTTATTCAGGGCTCCGGTGCGTTCCGGCTAGAATTATGGTTTATTACAAAAACTAAGAAGCACCAGAGCCGAAATCCGGTGAGCTCCGGCCCAATTTAAGCTCTGATCGTAAGGGGGGGGAAGTTCTTTTATCATCATAAAAATTAAATATACTTTAAAGTACAGCTAATGAAAATTCCAGGGTGAAACAGAATGAGGGTATGAGTGGGTGGAAACAAAAAATGAGGGGAATCTTGGTGAAAGAGAATGTTCTCTTTGACTGCGGCTCTCTGCTGATATAATTATAGCCATCAAGCAGATGGCAGATGCGTGTCAGGGGTTATATGAATATAAAGTTGCTGGTTACGCTTTCTCTCCCCCTCATTTGTGGATACTGTGGGAAGACGATGTATAGGACGCGCTTGAGCAGTTTATCTCAGTATTTCACTCTTATTGTACTCGATGTCACTTAACGCACATTTAAGAGCACAAATTTTCCTTCCTGCGAGGATAACTAACTGTAAGCATCGATAACAATACACTAGATATGATGGCATAGCGAGAAATTCACGCGTTCATTAACAAATTTCCCCAAATTTATTGCTTTTCTTGAAGGGAAAGGTTTCCGCATGTGAGTGAAGGGACTTTACTTGAACGTCTCATGTTCTCATGAGTTCGTATTTCTAGGGAAATAGAGTATTGCAAAGTCTGCTTATTGTTAAACTAAAACGCTAGCGGCTCCAGTGCAATTTAAGCACTGGGTTCAAGGCACATGTTATCTGCATTACGCTAAATGTGCTTTCTTGTATGCTACAGTGAATGAGACGTAAACCTGCTGCTGGCAGAGGATTATCAATATTTCAGCAAACAGCCTTATCCTATGAAGCCTCGGGCTATGCAGACCATAAAACTTGGATGCCAGTGGCAGCATACAGGTCACATAAGAGCTGTAAAGCTGTAGCACTCCTGTGTTACCACACTGAAAGTGCCAAATTAATGATCCTCATTTGTTGTGGATCTCGGGCAACCTTGTCCAGGTCTTCTTGACATAAGTCCAGTGTCCTGAAACTGCTTGCAGACCAGGAACGTTCCTAGGCCATTGGCTACCTATGTACTTTCCTAAGATTGCCACTCTCAAATTTAAAAAAAAAGTGCTCAATGATAAATAAAATTTTTATTTCTTACTCACCAAGTACATATGACAAATTGCATAAAAAGTGCTAATATATGACAAGTACTTAAAAGGAATTTAATGATTTAAAAATATTTATATGTGGTATCACAAGAGTCCGGCCTGCGTCAACAGCATAATTAGCACCTTTGGTTCAATACTTTTCACAAAAATAGACGCAATTTACAAATTCTATTAATTCTGCACATGAGTGTGGATTCGAGCATTAACCTAGTTACTTCAATGCATTTGCTTAATAAATATTTGTTAATCTTATATTTAAATTTTTATAAATGACTGGCAAAATTTTCAGCATTTATCAAGACGAAGCAACATGTCTTCCCTCTTGAGTAAAATAGTAATATTGATTTTTTTTAATGACCAGTGTGATATTACAACAAAAAAAATTAATTTTAATATAAAATTAGTCAATTAAACAGTTTAAAATACTTTTATAGCACTAACTACTAGTAATATTGATTTTTTTTAATGACCAGTGTGATATTACAACAAAAAAAATTAATTTTAATACAAAATTAGTCAATTAAACAGTTTAAAATACTTTTATAGCACTAACTACTCAGTCATTCCTACCAAAATTCAATTTACAAACTCATAAAAAAAACTGACTTACTGAAGTTACTATCCAATCAGATCCATATACAAAGCAATATTTGCAATAAATATCATCTATTTCTGGAAACTAAAATGAAAAAGTGTTATTAACAATGAAAAATTAATTAAAAAAATATGTTAAAATAAATCTTTATTTTTGCATAAGAATCACATGTAAGACAACTGAAATGAAAACAATATGAATTTAAAATAATAACTGAGTTTTAGCGATGTTATAATTTAACACCATGATCTGTGGCCATTATCACAGTAATTTAAGATTGGGGTGCATTATGGAGAAAAATTTTATTACATAATTTTTTTTTTAAAAGATTTTAAAACATTTATTTTTTGAAGCTAATAATCAAAGTAATTAAAATAAAAACTTTAAACCAATATGGATAATGATGAAGGACTGGATTACACAGCTTAATTAAGGAAAAGTTTATACCAGTTACTCATCCAAATTTTATGAGACCTTGACGCTGGCAGAGGATTATCAATATTTAAGCCAAAAGATACAAACACTAGTTACATATTTAAAAAAACTGCATATAAAGTTATTTTTACTACAGCATGCAAATGATCAAAATATCTCGTGCTCATTACAGTTCCACGAAGCAAATATAGTATGCATTAAGTTTTTTGGTTCACAGCTCCTATTTAAAAGGGGGAGATTACTTATGGAAAAAAGAAAAAGAATGGTTATATTATTTAATACTAAACGCATAATTAGTTTCAAGATATCAAGCCTAACTTCTTGAATTAAAATATTCATAAAATTTTTGTTCAAATTCATTGTATTAAGATAAATGCTGTCCATTTTAAGTGATAGTATCTTGTGTTTACGTTAATGGCTTCAGGAAATGAACTGCATAATGAGTAAGTTTTCGTTTGGAGCACCTTGAAATCATAAATGACATCTAAAAAAGAAATAAATTACACACATTTAATATTAAATATAAATTTTACGATAACTAAATCGAAATAATTATACCTCGGCATTTTCAATTTGTCCAGCAACCATCAAAAACAAAACATTTTCATTTGCCATTCTTTCGCATTGTTAGATTAAAAATCAAAATTTTTTACTAGATAGATCTATTTTGACCAACAATTTCTCAATGACTTATTACGTTAGACTAGTACAACCCTCATCGGAAAAAATTCTGATATTTTTATCATTCAAATTAAGCAGACGCTAAATTTCAGTTTGTCTTCAATAATGTGCTGCCATCTGTGCATGAAACATTAAAAATATATCTTCGCTATTGTGACATATGCAATGCAGGATTTACGTATAAGCTATACAAGCTATAGCTTAGAGCCCACTCCTTTTCTTGGGGCCCCCCAAAAATTTTTAATGTTCGAATGTGGCAAAAATGCAGACAGCTTTTATAGCATTACTAGCGCACTGAGATTTTTAAAATACTAATATTCGTTTACAAGGAGGATTCTAACCTCCTTGTTCGTTTACAACTGCAATCAACAAGTCGCTTTCCTAACTGCAGAGTCTGTAAGAGGTCTTCAGCTTTCATTTCTTTCAAAAGCTTTCCTACTTCTTTTTCATTAGTGAAAAGAAAAACATCGAATAAGCAAAAAAAAGATTACAATTTGATATTCTTATAATACGTAATATTTATTTAAGACTAAGATTGCACAAATTGACTAGATTGCACTAAAGCATTGCATGCATGCTAGCTGGACGGAATATCAAGAAAGTCCAACTAAAACTTGAAGTACATACCTTTACCCAAGGTCCGTAGAAGAATCTTCTACAGACTTTCACCCTTACCAAAGTTTATACTGCTATTAACAGTAAGTTAATTTGGTTACTTATTATATTCAACTTTTGCAACTATATAGTAAACAATTAATAATTTTCAATAAATACTTTGAGATTGTTATTTAATGACAAGGGTCATCTCATGTCTACCCGATGTTGCGCCAATTTTTTGCGAACCATGGCAATAGATTAACGAAAATACACCTTCAAATTCTTTTATGAAATTATCGGCAGCTCGCATTTAATCAACATTTGATTTCGTATCAGTAATTGCAAAAAGTAACAAGACCAAAGTAAGTTAGTTCACCCAGGCATCTGAAAGCATGCGGTCTGACATTAATATGGCCTAGTCTAGTGGGCATATACTCCTTCGTAAAATCCACAACCGCAGTTATTGTTAATATTAAAAAATGCAGTAAATAATAAAGAAAGTTGGTGACTTCAATCAAATATCTCTTTTCTCAGCAACAGAACTTTCAGAATCAAAATCGGTACTGCTTACTCAACCACTAGAGTAATCAATGCTGGTGTCCCACAGGGGTCGGCAATTTCGCCGTACCTTTTTTAATATTTATACACAAGACATCCCTAAAGACCCTTCTGTTCATCTTGCACTCTTTTCCGATGACACCGCCATACTTACTAAAGCCTGCACAGTTATCACCGTAAGAAACCAACTCCAAAACTATCTCATAAAACTGGAAAAATGGCTCACCCTTTGGAGGATTAAAGTTAAGACTGATAAAACCAAGGCAATAATTTTCCGTAAGGGAAACATGGAATACTATCCTCCACCCCCTGAAATATTTGACGAAGTAATAGAATGGATTAATGAAACCAAATACCTTGGGGTCACCCTTTATCAAAAACTTACCTTCAGAACCCACTTCCGCTTCGTAGTACAAAAATATAAAATCACCACAGCTACTATGCGACCTCTTCTTGGTAGAAAAAAGCAACTTATCTACTACAAACAAATTAATTTTATATCGCTCCATAGTTCGTCCAGCTCTCCTTTATGCAGCTCCAATCTGGGGACATGCAGCTAAAACCAATATTAAACAATTACAAATTCTACAAAATAAAATTCTACGAGAAATTATCAATGCTCCTTGGTATATTACAAACATCTACATTCACAGAGACTTTCAAGTCGAACTTATTCAAGAGTATATCAAAAAGAGGTCAACTTCTTTTATTCAGTGCAAACCCACAGTAATAGCCTTATTAGCACTCTCAGGCACTCCCCGCATCCCAGTGAAATATATCGGTACCCACGTGACATCCTACCCACATAAGAATTACAACCTTAATTGACTCATTCACGCTAAACTGACTCTGCTGTCTACTACCCGCGGCTACATCTTATAACGACACTGAACTTAGCCCCCCCTTTTTTTCGTCGCCGCTAGCGCGGACCTGACTCTCTTTTTCCGCCTCCCACACCATTAATTCCATGACAATGTATGAAGGTCTTCAATTTATCCGTCAATAACAAACAGACCTTTAATGATTTTGCAGGTCAAGGCTGGGGAATATGAAGTTCATCACTTGATGAGTACTTCCCATCATCCTGGAAAGTGGCAGTTATGTCGCCCATAATTAAACAGAGCAAGCCCCCTTCTTCTTCAATAACCTCCTGTCCAATCAGTATGTTACCTTCTGTTAATAAGATCGGAATATTTAGCGAATTTAGCGCTATATTTACCAAACTAGCAATATTTAGCGCTTTCGTCTACACCAAAAGAATCATGATTACACAACTGTTTGGCTTTTATCGAAATGTACCAACTACTCACTGGCTCTAAAGGATGATCGAACTGATTTTTTGAGAGGTTACAGAAAAACAAGTTTATTGATCGACTTTTCCTTGATACAGCCAAAGCTTTTGATACGATCTTGCTGGCCTTATTCTCAAAATTCTCACCCTGGGAATCCCAGGTGACATTGCAAAAATTACTTTGTCTTTCATGCTTCAAACACATGCTTCTCCCACTGTGTTATTCTAGTCGGCGTGCTGCAGAGTTCCTGACTGAGGTCCATTCTGTTCAATTTGTATGTGAATGAAACATCAACACCGCTCTAGCACTTTATGATGATGATACTACAATCCTTTCACAAAATGCTTTTCTTCATCCAGGGTTAGAAGTATCGCAAAATCACATTAATGCATTAGAGACCTAGCTTGTGATCTGGAAAACTTAATGTGGAAAAATCCCCAGCAAGTATTTTCACCAAGAAAAAGAAATAGCTGGCAATATTAGCATGTATGGAACCATATTGTTCTGGGCTAGAAGAGTAACTTATCTTTGGGGCTAGAGCTGCCTTACTTGGGAAGACCCTCGACTACTATCTTTCATTGTTCGCATACACACGCTCTATTATCCAGCAGTTAAGCGAAACTGTGTATGTAAAATGTAAACATAAAGCGAAACTGTACTCCTTAATTACCAGAACCGCGTTTTATTTGTTGGCAACAAGTTGCTCAGATACAAAACCGCCTCGAGTCCCATGCTTTGTTACACTCAAGGAGGTCTATTTTAACCTCCTTGGTTACACTTGCTCTTTTTGGATAAATTCCTTCCGCACCAGTCACAGACAATTACAGACGACTTAGAACTGCATCCTCAGATAAATAACGGCTGCCCAAAGTCTTTCAGAAGTAATAAAATTCACAAGAAACTAGGTATTAGTATCATTTTGGGGCATACAATTTGCCTTTAAACCTCAAAAAAGTAACACTAGCATTATATTTTTATATAACTACTGCTCTCCAGAAAATATCAGGAGATCTGTTGCTATTCTGAATAACCTAATGTAGATGCCAAGGTTCATGCAGAGGTTAATTATAGAGGTAGGGTCAAGCTCTAATAATTATACCATTCAACGTCTGTGATAATAAAATTTAATTCTGATCACTGTTTCATTGGTACTTAGTCAAAATTTATCAAACATTGGTTTGACCGCTAACATGATCAAGAGAAAATGCTCGCTCTTTTACAAGAAATTTTCTTCGATTTTCACAAAATGTTGGTTGATATTTTTCAAATTTATAATTTTCATGGATCTTTGATTTCCTATAAATTATAAGGTATCATTCATAAGGTGACTACGATATATTTAAAGCTTATGAATTGCCTGAACATACGTTTAAGCTCAAATAGTAAACATATACTATATAAATTGGATGGTTTTCATAACTATTGTTCATAAATGCTATGAATTACTTCTCAAGCATCAAAACTTAAGTATTTGACACTCTCAAATATGTGAAAAAGCAAAATTTCAATATTTTGGGCAGAGAAAAATGTGATAGAGCAAGTAAAGAACAGCTGTCTGTCTGTAGTAGGAAAAGAAACAATAATTCTCTTATAATGAAGATTTAAAAGTTTAAAATAAGTTTTAAAAAAAACGAAATTATATTTATATGGGATAGTGATTACGATTGGGTCTTTCAAAAAATATAAGTAAATAAATAAGTAATAAAAAAAGGACCATTGCGCATGCGTGCTAAATATGTGTGAAAAATCCATGAAAGATGCAGGGAAAGAGCGAACGTCCCGCCACCCCTAGAGCTATTCACCAAAGCGTGCATCCGGGTACTTCGGCATAACCATTCATTCTTTGTTTTTCTAGTTGTCATTATCCGGTAAACCTTATAATTTAATGAATGTAGTGCGAGTTACAAATCAAGAATATATTTTTACGTGTATTTTAGCTTTGTGTGTATGTAGTTTAAGTGAGAAGTCCTTGTGAATAATTTTAATGCAAAGTGGTTGAATCGTATTTGCGCGATCTAGCAAACCATTTTAACAAGACGAACTGAACATGGCATCTGCTATCGTGAATGGAATATTAGTCCAAGGACTGTCTGATGAGAATGACAATTCCTCCAGCACCAAAGAACAGATATATATGAATGGAACCGCGACTGACACTTCAGATCTGTTAAAACAAGAAACGGTGAGCTATTGATCATTTATGAGTAACGTAGTAATCAGGCTTTTTTTTTTAATTTTTTTTTTTTTATTTTTTTTATTTTAATCGCAGTGTTATGTATAAATATACGAGTTCCTTTGACAGTTGACTGTTCATATTTACTTTTATTTGAATAATCGTTTTGCAGATTTATGCTATTTGTGTGAGTGGTCTTTGATTCATTCATGATTTTCTAAGATTTAAATTGTATTTTTATTCATTCTTAATTATGGATGGTTAAACATTTCTTGAAGATTTTTTATATAGAAATGAATAAATCAAGATTTTCATATCTGGAAGATAATTTTTTATTTAATTATGGTGCTTATAAATGGTTTGTACTTTTACTCAGTAAAGTTACTTTAAATCATTAGATTTCATAACTGTTGTAATAAAAAAAAAAAATTGAATTTTGTAATGCTGGTATGTTACTAGGTGT